ATACTATTTAATTAAAAGAGTAATGAAAACTTCATTTAAAAGCATGGAAAGATATATTATATGGGTTCTGTATCGACATTATTTAATGAAAGACATATTAATGGCTTATTACATTATTTTGGAATAGTTTTGTCCAGCATCTTGAGTAGGCAGATTTTTTATTACAAAAATGAAAATGCTTGCTGTTTGTCGATGATACTTAAAGACATACCTTCTGTATATAAGAATATGACGGTAGCTTTATCAACTATATCTTACCTTGCTTTTGCAATAAGGCCGTTTGAGGAGATGTTACCACTTTGGCTATTATACTACATGTTGTATGTAACCTATCTGCCGCTGCAGTGAGCTTCTGGGGCGCATGGTACAGCGAAGGTAGTACACAGGCTTAAATAAATACTCACTATATTTGTAGCTTCAAGTAACCCTCCAATTCTATATTTCACTGCGGCTTTGCATTCAATTTGAGTTGGATAATAATAAATTGATGTCTTTTTCGTGCCTTCCCGGATTATATTTGTATATTTGCATATTTCATATTGACGTTTGGATGCTATCCTGTAGGTTGACGTCGCGGTCTAGTTGTTATATCTTAATTTACAACATGCTTATTCATTATTAATGTATAATATGAGAGATTATTAGATTACTGTTCGGAACTCGTGACAACGTGCAATGTTTCTTTAATCTATTAGGACTTATTATTTCTTAAAAATTTTGTTAGGCCTGCTTAACATTTTTACAAAAAAAAATAAAAAATGTTTTGTTCAAATGTCATCTCTAATACACGGAATCCTTAGCGTTGTTGCTATCCAGACCAAGTTTAGACTTCATTTTCCCCCTTTAATGTTGAATAACATCACCTAATAATAACAGCAGAGTAAGGCTACTTTGTTATTGAGTTCATTAAGTGATGTTCTGCGCAGTCTTATATATACCGGACTTTGGTGGATTATTTTCATTTTGACCCCGAATTCGCTGATTTCTGTGACACCTATTTGAAGAGTTGCTATATATAGATATTTGTTTTGCGAAACATTGTTGTTACTGTTAGAAGATGTCTATAAAAAGATGTTCCACATGCTTAAATTGGACTAATTATATATTGCCTCTTGGTTTTTGCCGTTGCCGCCTCGGGTAAATGGTACAATTAATAGAAAATTATGAGATGTTCTGAATTATAAACGGTGTCAGGTTTCCTTGACGCTTATCAATACATTGGTCGGCTAGGTTTGACCGTTGCCGCCTAGGGTAAATGGTACAATTAATAGAAAATTATGAGATGTTCTGAAATATAAACGGTGTCAGGTTTACTTGACGCTTATCAATACATTGGTCGGCTAAGTTTTCAATATTTAATAATGTTGTAGGCAGGAGTTGTTAGAATGTTCAAAATTGTCTTATCTGACTCTCTGAATTTTGTTAAAATTATTTGGGACAAGTACAGTTGCGCTCGGGTAAATTGAACACGTTCACTTGAAGTCGTATGCTATTATCCCGATAACCTCCAAGAAATAAAAGAAAAGTAAATCCTAATTGCGTATATTTGTTTCTCCATCAACACTAGCGTCGATGTATTTTAACTAATTAATATTGAGAAGAATGAAAGTAAGTCAAATAGCCAAATGTGTCAGCGTCTCTGATACCATAGCAACAAACGAAGTAACCAGTGACAATCTTGCATGCACTCTTTTATATCGTTAACGTAATTGATGTTTTCCGTATGACTTTAATGAAGAATTTATGGGGAAAATAAACGGTCGTGCAAGTTAATTGTCAATATTCTACAATTGTATCGTAGTAACTCTGTGTATTAACGTATCACTACGCGTACGAGAACAACTACAAAGAGTGATATAGATATTGTGCAAAACAAAGGTTTGTGGAGTAAATTACTATAGTCACTGGAAATATGCAGTGTTAACTTTTACCTGGCCATGTTATACATACCGTCTTGGTGGCTTTAAGTATATGGATAATGTCATACATTCGTGATATTTATCGTTTTATTGTCTTATGATAAATATGGTATAAGCTTCGGTTATACTATAGAACCATATACGTCGATAAATTGTGTTGACAGCAAATGTGGAAAAGATGTACAATTTCAGCATTAGTTTCTAGCGAGCCCTATACAGGTGTGAGGTAGCCAGACATATCATGGGCTGGGTCGTGTTATGTACTGTGTAGACGGCACAACGCCACACTAGTGTCTTGAGGACCAGGCACCCGTCCTGGGTGTGACATCTGACTGGTAGTCTGGCTTGTTACAACTAAAGTAATTTCGTCTATAGCTGACTTTATCACTAGTTTGCCTTTGACCGATGAGTCGGTAAAACCAAACCCTTGCGTCAGATTTATTTAAATATAATAAACTTTTTTTTTATATTACATATGCATAGTGGTGACACGTTCAAAGTTTATATGTTTGCCTTAAACATAATTCCTACAATTTAAATAATGACAGTAAATTTTAAATGTTTTTGAAGCTGCTGGATGTTGTATCAGACAGTATCTGCTGCGTTTCCTTCAGTTTGTTTCATGGGGTAGAGTCAAAGAACGCAAAATGTTTCCACCTTTCTCGAATATGAAATATTTACATGGTCAACGAATGGCAAGTTCAAACTTGTTGATGATTGGAAACAAGACTTAATGTGTTTGATTTCTTTTGGTTGTTTAATTTAAAATGCTATATCAGTTACTAATGTATTTGTTATTGCCGTACCAATGGATTGCAAATTGGATTCATACATGCACCAGTGTTGAGTCCAAATTGTCAAACAGGACATAACATCTGTGGAACCATTCATACATTGCATATACAATTCGGCATTTTGTTCTAGGACACAAGGCAGACAGCATTCACCACGGTGACATCAAACAAGGAAAGGAAAAGGAAATGTATCAGCTTAAAAAGGGAACAAGAAGATGGGGTGGGGGTCTGTCATATGTAAAAGAAGTTTGTAACTACAAAGGTAGGAAAGAAAATCCATAGACAGGGAAAGCTGATCTGTTTTTACTAAGGAATAATCCCAAAAATTATATTTTTCCCGTAGCTTGCTTAAGGTATTCCCATTATTGGAATTTGTACCCATCGTTGTACTATATTCCCATTATCGAAATAATGTTTCCAAATGTCAAGATTTTAATGTATTTCTATGTGATGCACGATGTTTCCGAATATTTGGTTATTGAATTATACCGACTGGTTGAAGTAGCGCTCAGTGCTGCCACAGCAGCATTGGGATGCTTGATAAAATAAATCTCATTTAAATTGACAACTATGAATTTGTATCTACGATTGCCAGTTGGAGAAAGAAAGAACCGAATCGTTGAGTCGTGATTTGAATATAGCACGAGGAAAGTACCATGCAATGTTTTAGATGCCAAACGATTTAACAGGCAAGTCAATGTTATGGACTCGGCTGCCGTTATTTATCTACTCCTGAGCCTGTTATTAGTGACAGTGTTTCACGAAAGGAGTCGCCTTTTCAATAATCATTTCAAGGATTTCCCACCTAAAGTTCTCCTATCTACGGCATTTTATTGTAATCATAATGACCCAAATTACTGTAAGCTAGCAGTGTCTGTTAGCAAAATGTTTACATGGTGACCTCATATTGTCATTGGTCTACTTAATTGCCTTGATTTGATGACAGACATAATGACATGATCATTAAATGACATTTCATGTTTTGGTGGTGAAGGAAACATGAGTTACCGGAGAAAACTAGATGTAGGTGTGGTCATGTCATGTAGAAAACAGAGAGTGTGAATGTAGCATATAAGGTAAAGCTGTGTACATGTTGTTTTTCGAGTTTATTTTATGCTAAGCGACTCGGGTGGAAATGTTTGACAGTGTCATGTTAGAAACTCTGAGTATAGATGTTGACGAGTTTATGGCGTGCTTGGTAAAGAGACTGTGGATGTTTGACGAGCCAATGTCATGTTATGTGCGCCGAGGATGAATGTTTACGTTGGTATGTTTACGTTTCACAGTTATCGAAGATGGGATCCACACACCGCGTATTGATCCAGTTGTCGCCCTACCGTACGGACGGTTTTATATGAGCTTATGTGATGTACACGCTAGCTTGCGTCTTGGTTTGGCCCGAAAAGGTTATGTGAGCACGGAAAATGACATGTCGCCAACATGAGTCTTTTGGGACGCACGAATTCCAGGTATTTCCGAATATGTGTTTGTTAGTTATAAGGCAGGAACCGACAGAGCAAGGGGGCAAAGGAGAACGCTGATACAACATTGCCAGCTCGACACTCACTCTGTTCAGTGTATTGATTTGGTTAATGATAAACATCTGCTTGTTAATTCAATTTAGTTAATAGTTAACCAAAGGTGTGCTGTTTTATATCAGATTCACGCTGTGTCCGTAATGTACCCGTCGTGACATACGCAGTGTCTGGTAGAACGTTAATATTTAATAGCGGCGTCATATCAACAGATCTATCACCTCTTCCAGCTGAAAAAAAAAGATAAGGACTTTTTAATTGATTCTGTTACAAGGAGCAATTTCAGAAATGTTCAGTACTAAAAAAATAACGTGTGGCTGTAATGTAATCAAACGTGCTTTTCCGAGAATGATATTGACATTGTATGGCTCCAGAATGTGTGAATTTGTCAGAGCAGTGTGCATACAGATTGATATTATTGGCGATCATTAACCTTGTATTACAACGGGGTTTGACATTCAAACGTGTACATTTGTTCCTATCAAGGTGTAGGCCATTCGGACAAACGAATTGTTTAACAGAAGACATTGGATTTGGTGCTTAAAACGTAGCAAAAAGGACTAAATACTCAAAGTGTGCGCTGTTGTACAGCTTGTTTGCCAACACATGTTTTAAAACGTGTGTGCTGACTCAACTGTTGGTTTGTTTTGGTCCTAAAAACTTGTACATTCTGTAATTTGAATAGTTCTAATTCTTTCATTGCAAGATAGAGATTGTCAAATCTTAAATTATGTTACTTTTTCTTTCCTCAGGTAACGTAGTCCACAACAGAATGACAGATCGCAACCAGAAATATCGCTTACATTACTTGCTGCCCATTGACTCGTGTTAAGAACGGATGCAGATGGCCATTGTGAAAGGGATGTGTAGTCAAATATTAATCCCGACGTGACCTTGAAACCAAGGTGACGATGAAGGTCAAACGGGATACGTTCGATACGGGTCAGCCGATCTTCCAGCACCCGGATGATTACAGCGAAGATCGGTATATGATTCACGAAATGAAAATTTTCATTATTTTGGTGATAGGTTTTGTTGTGATACTGGCATGTGTCCTCTACATTATAGTGCAGTGTAAACGGAAAGCCGGATATGCGGTCAAATTCTGCCGGAACCGGAAGGAGTCAAGTGATGTTAAAAAGCTTTTGGATAACCAAGAGAGTGTTGAAAATCTTCTTCATGTGACGTCACCACATCTCTCACGGAACCAAATAAACAAAGAGTTCTACGTGTGACTATGATTATTTGTGATATCGTGACGTCACTCACAATGCATATGAATATGAAAGGGCGTGCCGATATTTTGTCAAACGAGGCAATTAAATGTTTGCAAGAGTGATAATATCAGACGTGCACATTGTGCAGAAACTACAATATGATAATTTGCCTCGTGGTTGTGAATGGAAGTAAACGCCCCAAAGGTAATATCACACTATGCACAAAAGGCCTGTATATTACACGGCCTGACGTCAGTCCGGTCGGGTAGTCTACTCTCTATGCTCTAAGATTGTCACCAAATTCCCAAGTGCGTCTGAACCATTTATTGAATAGAACATCTATGAAGTGTTTCAGATGTAGGATGTGGCAAGGAAGAAGTTGTATCGCATCAGTACGAATACGTTATATTGCTGAATGTTTAATTAGACTGACTAAGCCTGATCTAGAGTTGGGGCTTTGAATATTCAGGTAAGGAGCTAACAATCGTGTACTGTATGCTCACTTGCCGACGGTGTGTCCGTCTGTCCGGCAGGGAGGTCATGTTGCTGCTGAGAAAAAGTGATTTACAGCCTGCACCTACATTTGGTGAGGGACATTGACTATTTATCTTACGGATATTCTTTTAATTTTTATACTCAAGTTGATTGTTTGTAATCATAGATCTTTTGAACCTTTTTTACATGTGTTCGAGCACGGAGAACCAATCAGATCCCTTATCATTGTCACGTGAGTGTGTGTTTTCATACCTTTTTATCATATTACTTTTATGTATTTTTCCTATACAATTCAAAAGAACTTAAAATGTTAATGCAAAAAATGAAAGTTTGTGAATTTTTTCTACAATCATAATGTGTTTTCTTCTTTTTTATTGACCGTTAGATATTTAAATAACCTTGAATAGGATGTCGATTCGTAGCCAAAAGACACTGACCTATTACAACGCCGAGGAAAACCGTAATGGAGAAATCGGCCTTCATGTTTTATTTCACAAAAATACAAATATATATATATACGATTTTAATAACTATAGTTCAATATCAGTTTAATTAACGGGGATATTTTATTGTGGGTTTTGAAAGAAATCTAACATTATGGGATCGAAGTTCATGATAACCGTACAATCACGATTGTTTCACTAACACAGAACAGTCGTGAACTGCAGCGGTACAGGACAACACATTGTATGATGGTTGGTTATTGGTTGTACAGAGTTAACGTCCGATCAACAGCGAAGGTCATTTAAGGACGTGCCTCAAGGTGTGTTGTATGTGCCGGAGGCAGGGTATGCTGGTGTATTTGCTTACCTGTGATAGCGCGGATATGTTGTGGACTTGATAGTGCTATCTCATGGAAATACCCTGCCGAAGGCACCCAGTACAGTATACCACCCGGTCACATTATACCACCAAAAGGTGAAACAGTTGTTGCGATTACCCCAAATGCTGAACGTTATAAATGTTAAGAGGGAATAGCAACTGTCATTTGTAAGGACTTTCTTAAAGCCAAACGTGACGTATTGGCAAGCAAGGCGCTACGAAACAAAACGCTGTTAAAAGTAGAAGGAAGAATAAAGATTCCAAATAGTGCAATTGGTGCAGAGAAATTATTTTCATCGCTTTTTTGTCCCTTAGTAGAGGGCACAAATGCAAATCCCCAATTGTCCAGAGTGTTCCAACACTGGTCGTCTCCAACGATCATGCAGTGGGCAACAGTGTATTGTTTTTTAAATCCTCTACCTGCATGGCTGACATCGTATGTAAATGTTGATTGGGCGTACTATACTAGTTAAGTTATTGGAAATTGACAGGGTAAAAGACAGAATAACAAAACAAAAGATATTTAACACCACAAAAATGCAAAAGTAAGGAACCGTATAGGATATACAATTTTCGACACAACAGAAAAGACCCGACCGATTGTCGCTATGGACATTTTAATGTGAACTATTTCTTTGTGTTGTCGTTTTATGACAACATTTGAGATAGAACAATTGTTTTCTTAAGATAACAACAGTAATTTAATAACAAAAAACAACATAACATGACATTTGCAGTTATGAACGCATAACCTTGTCAAGCTTATAAACAATATATGTTTTGTTGTAGCCGTTCTTGCTTGTACATGCACAATGTAAATACCATGTTACATTGCTAACTGCTATTTAATTGCCGTTGTATATCTTCAAATGTTGTTATGAGCCACTACACCACTAACGCACAATCATGTCGAGTTTATGAAAATAGAAAACAACACGCTACCAACTTCATACAGCCATATTAGGTACATATACCCCTGTTTTATTATATACAATAGACCATTCATCGTATTTGCAACAATACACTTCATAGTTATGTTGAAAACGTTATATACACAAACGAACTAAACCAAAATTTATGACAGCATGGAGGATTATAAAAAAGGTCTGTTTACTAAGCAGCGCTCTTTATTTATTCATTAAATGTTACATTAATATCACGGGAGGGTATTGTCTGTCGCTATCGTATCGCGTTTCGCTCGGATATCTGAAGAGGCTGGGACATATTCCGGCGCGTGAGGGTGACAGTGTGCAGCTTCGATAAGAGAACAGCAATATCGTGTCAGATAAAACTATTCAACCGTTGACGATGCAGAGAAAACAACTGTACATAGTCAGATAATATTATCCATCCTTAGGATTGACAGAATAAAAGTACATAGTAAGATAAAACTATTCAATCTTTGTCAGTGTAGACAGAACAACAGTATACAGTAAGATAAAATTATTCAATCTAAGTCAGTGTAGACAGAACAACAGCTTATAGTCAGATGAAACTATTCAATCTTTGTCAGTGTATACAGAACAACAGTTTATAGTCATATACAACTATTCAGTCTTTGTCAATGTAGACCGAACAACAGTTTATAGTCAGATAAAACTATTCAATCTTTGTCAGTGTAGACAGAACAACAGTTTGTAGTCAGATAAAACTATTAAATCTGTTTCAGTGTAGACAGAACAACAGTATATAGTCGTTGTCAGTGTAGTCAATCTGTTTCAGTGTAGACAGAACAACAGTACATAGTCAGATAAAACTATTCAATCGTTGTCAGTGTAGACAGAACAACTGTGAGATACAAGTCTCCAATCTTAGTCGGTGAAGACAGTAGAATAACACAACCCTGTTTGGTTAAACTGTTCAACCTCTCCAGTGTAGACAGGAAAACATTGAAGTTCCGTTCAAATAACATTGTCAAGTGCAATTTAGTGTCCTTCTTCAGTGAAAACAGATAATGCAGATTAAAATTTCGCCAAATAATGTTGACAGAAGCACAACATTATGAAGTAAAATGTAAGATCAAAACATCCAACCGGCTTTGGTTTGTACAGTATGACGACACTATATAGATGTATCTGGGCAAACATCTTGGTACAGATAGAACAGCACCACATTCAAACAGTTCAACTTTTGCCGGTGTATGCAGGGTAAACAATACGTGTACTATTGTTCATCCTTTGCCGTAAAAAAGGAGAACACTTTCCTACTCCCGTTAGTTGGAACAGGGGAACATGACTGAAACTGCTGAATTGTCGTCAAAGTTGACAGAACAATGTTTTTAAACTGCGCAACCATAATCAGTGTGGACATAGAAACTATACTACATTGACAAAAAATGTGTAACGGTTTGAAGTTAGATAGTAGGGAAATAACACTAGAGCATTTCTAAACTATCGTCAGTATACACATGGGAATGTCCAACCATCATCAGTAGTAACATAGACAACACTACAGAGACAAATTACTCAACGGTTGGAGTATAGACACTTGTGCCAGATAAACTACTTAACTTTTGCAAGTGTTTGCATGAGAAAATTACATTTTAAAACAGTTCCACCGTCGTCAATATAAACATGACAACACGCAAAGTGTCAGACGAAACTGTTCAACCAACGTCAATGTAAGGAGGGGAACTCTTTATTGTTAAACTGGTTAACGACCGTTGATAAAGCGAGGCAAACACCGCATTCTAAAACTGTCCAACCACTGTTGATGTAAAGGGGCGAACACTGTATCCAAAACAAATGTTCAATGATTAACTCACCGTTGTCGACGTCATACCATCAGTAATATAAAATGGTGAACATCAACCATTGTTGATAAAGCGAGGCGAAACATTACATTCTATAACTGTTCAACCATTGTTGATGTAGCGATGCGAACACTACTTTCTGAAACTGTTCCATCGATCGCTGATGTAATGAGACGTTACGTTGTTTACAGCTGTTGATGCAAACAGGCTTCATAAATTACGATTTTGAGCATCGTCTTTCTTACCGTTACTAAAACAGCGATACACTTTTGTAATTGGAAGAAGTATGCTATATGAACATTTCATTTTCAGATGTTTTGTATTCAGAGATTAAATTTAATCTATAATTATTCCATGCTGTTTATTTATCATCTCCCTGAGGTTGATCAGTAACGTTTGTTTCTCTGACAAGGTCAATCAGTCTGTTCCTAATCACTACCTTCCAAACACAGTAAAGGGAGTGTATGGAAATTGAAATTTCATGAAAACACACTCCACATTTCACGGAAGAATGTCTTCTCAATAAAGAAATCGATTGTAATTAAAGCTCGGAGGAAAGAGCTTTGTTCGGCAGAAAGCAGCCCACTATGTCGAGCTTGTTAACCTTTAACTAGGCATATGTACACTGTACCTACTGCCTTTAGAAAAAACCAATACGTTCATTTCAAAAGCAAATATAATTCAGTTAATCATGCCTTGTTTTCAACCACCTAAATTGCTGTACGGCTGCTTTGACTAAGCCCGATCACCTTCAGTGTAACATTGCCTAACCTAACCCAACAGCTCTTTTGAAATAGCACGGATCTAATGGAAACTGTAGAGCGCTACGTCACTAAAATACCATGTCGAAAGCATGCAGCACAGTTATCTACCTGGTGATATTAAAACTGACACTAGGTCAGTAATCATTTTGGAAGAGGAATTAATATAATTTCTTAGTTTGTTTCCTATCCCTTTGCAATTTAATGTATACAATAGCATTACGTGATTATTGAATAAAAAACTGTTTGTGCTAAGTGCTTAATGTTAATCAGGAAATAACTTTCTCCAATTGTGAGAACTTTGTTACGTTTGCGTTGTGTCAAGATTGACCTGCGTTATAATTATTGTGATATAGGTAGCCATCTGGATACGCCGCATTGGACCAGTTCTAAATCGAGACGAGGGGGCTCAACGACTATCACACATCTATGACCAAGAATTTAACAAAGTGTTGCTGAATCGAGCCATTTCGGAACATGTATAACAACTATTGTATATACAGCGTAGTCGAAATCGGCATCTCTTACACATTTCACACCTTTGTGTACATACGCTTCACTGGTCATTTGATTGATAAAGGTGGAAAAAGAACTTTCCATAATCCATTCCTAGAACCTGAGGAAAATGTTTAGAAATAATTGAAAAACAAAAATGAAATAAAAAATTGTACATTAAGTGATACAGTGTAATTTTAAAGAAAACTATTTGAAAACTTCTCACTACTGCTATTCGAAGCAATAGTGTGTCTTCAGTGACGCCGGCACACTAGACTTGGTGACGTACACTATTCTTTTTAGTGCCCAGGGGACAAGTAGCGTGACTTAGGATTTGCACTCTTTCCTTTAGAAATGACTGTAAATTCTACTTTCAGTTGGCTATTTGTTTGTCTTTACGATGTAGTAAAAACCGGACTCGGATCAGAAATGTCGGACTTGTTAACAGAGGGACAACGCAGTTTATTGTTACAAGACGCAAATAAAGCAAATTTTGCCGCAACTGTATTTAAAGAGATCATGCAA